TTGGACGAGGTAGTTGTTTTGTTAGTTGTGGTGGCATTTAAATCGTTAAGAGTTAATTGGCGTACAATATTGGCTCCCTTCTCACTGAGACCCAATGATAAAACACTGTTTGTGCCTGCACTCTCTGCAGCAATAGTATCACCGTTAGTCTCTGAATTTGAAGCGGAAGATGGAGGAAAACTGGCACCAGCATTGGCAGGACTTGTGGCTATGCCGGAGTCTAGTAAAGTAGATATCATTAAAATATGGGAAATAAAAAATCATTCTGTAGAAAATTTTTGAAAATTATTCTCTTAAAAAAAAAAAAAAAATTGGAAATTTTTCCTTTCCTTTCGCAGAAAATTTTCAAAAAATTTTTTTTCAAATATAGTTCTTTTTGTAGGAAGTTTTCGAAAATTTATAAAAATGTACATATTTTATAAAACCAACCTTCCAAAAAGAAAATTTTATTTAATAACTTACCATTTTCATCTTCATCTAATGAATCCTTGTCCATATTTTCCGGTGAATCACCACGTTTCTCCACCGGACTTGTAGCCACTTGATTATTACCATTTTGATCGTTAGTCGTGCCATTATTTGTTGAGGTATTTAATGGTTTTGAACATTTATCATTATCATCCATAAGATTATCCTCAACATCTGCATCAGATTGTTCAGCAGAGGAAGAGGAATTTGACCAAGTAGTAGCATTCTGACTGCCAGCCTCCTCACGAGTGGCACAACCCATTAAAACAGTACTATCATCAGCTTTAACATCACCGCCACTACCATCACCTCGTTCCCCGCCAGTAATATCATTTAACATTTGCTTTTGCACAAGTTTTGTATGCTGATGTTTGGCTACTCTTTTAGCCTTACGCTCTTTCTTCTGTTCCTTTTTTAATTGAGACTTAGTAGGACCACTAGGTGAAGAGTTATTGGGGGCCGGATGCAGATAGAAAGAGTTGGCATTGTCGGGTGAAGTTTTTCGTCGTATTTGTGGTGGTTGAGATTTTTCAACACTTACAGGAAGTGACATGTCTAGGAAATATTCATGCCTCGAGCTGACATTATAACAGTCTTGGCAAGTCAGGGTCGAGACAAGGAAACCGCGAAAGACTTGTTCGGGACGTAAGATACGATCGGCCGCTTGATTGCCATAAATTTTGCATTTTTGTTTCATATCTTCGGAAACCGAATTGATATCTTGGTCTTTGTAGCCAAGATTTTGTAAAATAACACGTTGATAACGCTTTAAGTCTTCAGATCTATTAGGAAAATGGAAATAATAATCTTGAATTAAGTTTTTAGTTTTATAAATACTTACCTAACACTTTCCAATAAATGTCTTAATAATTCATGAGAATCATGTTGATCGCCTCCTTGAAATTGAGGACATTTAGCACAAAGTTTATGAAACAACTTGCTGGGATTGAAAACGCCGCCTGAAAAATAATAAAATTAATATTTTGTATATTTGTTTTCCATTTATGAGTTCTACCTCCCGATTGCAGCTCCTCTAAAGTTTGAGCCAAGGCAGCAGTCAAACCTCCCCAGGCGGATAAACTTCCCTTAATGGGTGGCAACTCCAAAACTTCATCATCCTTGGACTTAAAAGTACCACCGGGCAGAGTAAATCTATTAGGAAAACAAAAAATTAATAAAAAGAGCTTTTTGAAGTTTTTGAATTAACACCTACTCTTCTCCTGCTTCGGCTGATTCCTTCAAAACGTCCAATAAATAGGGAGTTTGAGCCAAACATTGCATAACAGCATTAAAGAAACAGGTATTACCCAAATTAGTTAAACCTCTAACACGGGGCAATTGCTCCGTTACAGCTGGCTTAGTAGCAGTTGTAGCTGGACCAGTAGATAAAACTGGCAAGCTGTTGTAATTGCTGTAGGTAACCAAAGGTTCATTAACCCGCTTAGCCATGCCCGGTATGGGTGGTAATGGTGGCGGTGGCAAGGGTATAGCAGTTTTATTACCACTTGCAGCTAAGCTATTAGTTGAAGTTTCCTCAGAGGACAGTAAAGGTTTTAAGGACTCAAAAGTGCTTAAAATTTTATTTTCAATATTTTCCATATTGGCTGCAGCTACGGGGGGTTTTTGGGCCAAACCCTTAACAAATTCAACGCATTCTAAAAGATTCTTACGGGAATCCGCCTTCACCTCATTGTCACACTCATAACACCAGATTTCAAAGGAGCGCGTATTCATGGCCAATGCATGAGAATCAGAATGGGGAGTCTGGAAAGGGAAATATTGTTATATACCTATAACAATGGAAGTATAATTAAGGGAACTCACCTTAAAATGTTTCAAAGCATGTTTATTTTTCGAACGTCCACACAATTGTGTGCCACATCTCAAGCACAACCACAAAGTATTATCATATTCAAAAGCGCCCGGTGACTCGGCGGATTCTGAAGCCTCGGTAGCTGGAGAGGTAACGCCCAATTTTTGACACTGTACACACTCAAAGACCAAGCCCGTAGTTTTTAACAATTTACGCAGTTTGGTAGAATCTACGGCTTTCTTAACATGATCGCAGGAACGAGAAGCGCCAGTCGGATTAGCTTTTTCGTCAGAGGAATCCGATGACGAAGCATCATTCCATTCTTGATAGTTTTTAACCATTTTCTTCCAAAGCTGGAGGTTAAAAACCTAAATGCGTCTTAGAATAACTTGTAGTTTTGTAAAAAAAAATAAGAAAAATGAAAAGTCTGTAATAAAACAGAATAAAATTAAATACTTTACAAAAGAAAAGGCACAAAAACTAGGTTACAAATTAGCAGCCATTAACCACAACAAATTTAGACATTGATTTTTTTCTCACTCTAGCATTATTTAACAAACATATTTATTTTCATTATAAAATTTACTTTAATAATTTTTAAAAATTGTAAATTTTACTATTTTTTTACCCAATTTTTCTTAAAAAATCATTTAAATTTGTTTAAAAACACTTTTCTTCTCTAACACTAAAAATCAAAAGAAAAAACTACAAAATTGAGGTTAAGTTTAATAAAAATGTTGTTGTTCTAGTTGTTGTTGTTGCTGTCGTCGCCCGTGTTTTCCTGTACATGTGTAAGCCTGTAGGTATGTATTAGTGTTAAGTATGCAAAAACAACATGCCTTGAAAAACCGCATAAAAAAAACAACAAAACTAATTTTTCTTTTTCGTTTTCAATTTTTTTACATTTAATTTTCCTTTTTCTTTGTTTTCTATTAAATTGTTTAAACAAAACAATATTTTTGCTGACATTGACTTTCCCTTTATCTTTTTCCTATTTGTTGACGTAAATTTTGCCTTTTTCCCTTTTTAAAACAACAAAAAAAACATTTAATTTTTCATTTCTTTGTTTAATATATAATTTCTTTCTTTTTTTGCAATTTCTTTCTTAGCACCATTTTTCTTTCTTGTTCTTCTTAATTTCACGTCACGTAAGAAAAGTGAAAATCATGTTTCTTTCTTGTGGCAATGAATTATATTAACCTTTCTTATTCTTAAGCACTTTTATAAAATGCAATTATGTTCGGTTTTATTAGTTTATTTAAGAGTTTTTTCAATTATTTTCAATTATAAAAACACAATTTTCATTTAACACAATTTTTTAGACGTGCTCTTCACATTTTTTTGCTAATAAGTTTACTGAAAAAAACACACATAGTTGTATGAAAAAGTACTTTACTTTTTTGTATACAAAAATAGCAGCACTATGTGTAAACAAACTAGGCAGCACTCTTTTTTGAAAGAATATATCCGTTAAAACAAAGTACAAATGATCAATTCAAAAATATTTATACCCTACACCACTTTAGTGGGGAGGGTATATTGGATTTGTGCTGATGTTTGTAACATACAAAAATATTCGTCCTAGACCCACCTTAAAGTATACCAATCGGCTTAGAATCGTTTTCTGAGTCGATTAAGCTATGTCCGTCCGTCCGTCCGTCCGTCTGACTGGCTGGCTGGCTGTCCATGTAAACCTTGTGCGCAAGGTACATGTCGCAATTTTCAAGATAATTGGATGAAATTTGGCACGCACGTTTTATTTGACCTAAGGACGAAGCCTATTGAAAATGGTTAAAATCGGTCCATTATTTCACCTAGCCCCCATAGAACAGAACCCCCCGAAAAGGGCTTCTGAGCTCATAATTATGTTAAATATACAGATATATCGATAAAATACGGCACAACTAAGTTTTATAGAAGTCTTGATGACCCTGCCAAATTTCATAAAGATCGGGCCACATTTGACCCTAGCTCCCATACAAAGTCCCCTTCAGAAAATTACTTGAATGTCCCAAATTAGCTTATAAACACAAATATCGCGATGAAATTCAGCACAATAAAATATTATGTCAATATAAATATATTCACAAAATTTTATCGGGCTTGGTCCATATTTGCCCCTAGCCCCCATATAAAGCCTCTTTCAGAAAATTAGTTTTTCATCCATAAATTGCTTAAATGTATCGGAACAAGGGAATATTGAAAATAAATGCTTTATTATGAAAAATAAATCAGATTTAATATTCATAACTGGTGTAGGGTATCATATGGTCGGTCACGCCCGACTATAATTTCTTACTTGTTTAATTTTAAATTCTTGTGTTAACTGAGCGATATGCCTGCCAACAAATATATAGCCAAATTGTTATGCAATTTAAATTTTGAAAAATGTTTCATGTATTTTTATTGAAAAAGTCAGGTAATTTTAACTTTGAACTTTAGCACTCAATAAAAGCCAACAAAATACGGCTTTTTTATAGAAATATGTAACTTTTTCCTATTAGTTGTAAAAAACTTTCAGTAATTTTATATTCCTTTGAGTTGGCAACCATACTTCAAACACTTTGTGCTTTTACTTCAAACACTTTGTGTTTGTAGCAAACACGAGATATGAAAAATACATTGCTGTTTGACAAACCAGAGTTTCCTAGGTCGTCGTCAAACAAATGTATTTTAAATGGGACATCAAACAAAATCTGTTTGAAGGAAAAATTGTGCAATTTTTTTTACCGAATCGGTCAAACTTGGCAGCACTTTTCTTGTAAAAAAAAAAACGGAATATTTACGCGTCGTGAATAAGCAAATTTGCAAATTTGTTTAAAAATTTTTTTAAAAGTGAGATTGTGTATGTTTAATTGTTTGATTTAAATAAAAGTGATTAAAATAATAGATAAGTATAAAAACTGTTTAAATGAGTAGTAATCAATTGAAAATTTGGTTAATATTCCTACAAATAGAATCAAATTAAATGGCCATCGAATGTTGCAAAATTAAAATAAAACGAAAGTAAGTTAAATTAGTTAATTGTTTATTATAAAAATGACAATTCTATAGCAAGTAAAGCATTCTAGAAAGTTTTCTATTTCTGTGATTGTTTCTTCTATTAATAATTGTTTTTGCAGCCGAACACACAATGCTATTCTTTATGGTACCTAGTTTCAGTGGGAGACGGTGGATGAATTGTTTTTGAGGTTAGAGCCAAACTGATATAAACTATTGGATCTAATTTATCTCGTAAAGAAAAGTGAAACTCTTATGGGTGTTGTTAGGGATTGTTGTAGGTTTTTAAAGCGAACACATAAAAGATGACATGGTAAATCGGTGGAAAAGTTTTCTGCTATATATTGACTCTTTCTGGTATCAGTTGGTTTCTGCATGATGAAATATCAATATAGAATATTCGTTCAGCCTGTCCCTGAAACGCTCTGATTGTGGATCTGAATCATTATTCTCTTTGAATATTACAAAGAGACCTTTTTAAGACACAAAAAGAGAAGGGTTTAATAATACACTGTAACAAATCCTAAGACCAAAGTATACTTATCTAAAGAAACCATATCTGGCCTCAATTTTATAAATAAACGTATCTTTGCGTTGTTACAGCGTGTCAAATAGAGGTTTTTTCAAACTTCATGATGCGACAACTGGAAAAGCTGATGCGATACATAATTTCTGAAGCCAGCTTAGCGCAGCTCAATTCTTTGGAAAAGTATATTTTTGGTCTCTGGATTTCTTTAAGCTAATTTTCAATAAAATTCAAATCATCGGTTTTACGTGATACTATTCTCTACTAAATTCTTTTACAAAAGAAGTTGCTCTACCTGATCAGCGGTTTTCTATCCAACTTTAAATATTCGTTTAAAAACTACAAGTACCTATGTAATAGAATTAAATTAACATGTTTCTATTGATCACTCTAAAACTAAATATCGACATTATTTAGACTAATTTGTCATATGAGACAGACAAACGTTTGGGATACAACTTGCTTAGGCATACAATAGCAATAACAAAATCTGCACCCTAAGGTCAGACAGGAAAATAGCCTAAATTAAACTTTTATACTCAATTTACAACAAAATTATAAACGCATGCACGTGACTACTACTACGAATGAACACTAAACATAAACTCTTCGAAACCTAAAAAAACTGCCACAAATGTGTTTGTGTGGCAAGTTCAATGATGAAGAAATATTCCTACAACAAAAATAAAAAAGAACTAAAATAAAAATTGGAGTTTAAGCTAAAGTTACTTAATGCCTGGTGAAACGAATTTTTATGAATTGAGTCTGTCTATAACTGACAAATCCATAAGTAAAACTATATAATTTTTCAAAGGAATTACCCAGGCAAAGGAAGCTCAGCAACATACACAGCTGCCTTAAGAATTATTTTTATGCAATATTTAAGTTTTTGCTGCAAGTCGCTTCGGTCTGCATGGGTAAAGGAACGAAAAGGCAAAAAAAATGTTATTTTGAGGCTCCATTAAGCTTAACATGTGCAACACTGTAATTTGCCGGCTTGTAGCAAGGAAACATTTTAAGAAGATGAAGCTGAAGTAAAGGAAAAAACGGAGTATAATACGTGTATAAAATGTGCCTATATGTTTTAATGTCTGTCCGCCCATTTGCTACACACGTAGGCGCACTCATTGTCAGTTCCAGGAATATCCATGTATGCATCTCCAACATTCGCATACAATTCGTTCTATACTATTCTCCTCGCTGTCTACAGTGTTTGTTGTGGTTGTTGTTTTTGTTTATAATTTGTATTGTAGGGAACGCAGTGGTTCCGTAATTGCAATTGACTATCACATCTTCTATAGTCTGGACTATATACAATCTATAGTCTGGACTATATACAATCTATAGTCTAGACTATATACAATCTATAGTCTGGACTATAGACAATCTATAGTCTGGACTATAGACAATCTATAGTCTGGATTATAGACAATCTATTGTCAGTATTATAGACAATCTATAGTCTGGCTTATAGGCAATCTATAGTCTGGACTATAGACAATAAGTAGTTTGGACTATAAACAATCTATAGTCCGGACTATAGACAATCTATAGGCTGTTTATATCTATATATATATATATATATATATATATATATATAGTCTGGATTATAAACAATATATAGGCTGGTCTTGGAACCACTATCTTATAATACCAACTGCACTCCTGCACCAGAGTTTCTTAACTCTTTTCCTACATTATTTTTCCTTTAGTACAAGTTCCTGTTGTTGCCTCTCCTCAATATTTGTTTGATGTTGTGTTTCTTTATATTTGTTGTCTTTAATATTATGGTTACCATTATATTACTATAGTTCATCATTTATGGAGACTTTGTGTCTTAATGTGTCGAAATGAATTTAAATAATTTTTTGTTTTATACCTTTATGTTCCTATTTCCTTGCACTCCTCGCTCATCATCATCATAAACGAACATCCTTCACAAAGCATATTTGGGTAGATATTCATGGGCGAACCCTGTGTGTAGCTTTGGCAAACAATTTAAAAGTACAAGGAGTATCGGAGCAGAGATATTAAGACAGACATAAAAAAATGAAAAAGATTACGTTGAACAGCAGCTGTTGGGATTCAGTTTCAGCCACTGTCCATATCAATAGATTTGTTTGTAGTTTTTGAATTGTCTTTGGTATTGTATTTTTTGCTGCTTCGTTGACTGTGGTTGCTTTTGCTCTCTTGGTTGTCAGGTTTATTTTTGTGGTCGGCTTTTATTGTTTGAGGTTTGAAGTCGTAGATGTTGTTGCTGTTGGATGCTTTTAGCTGCCACTTTTTTGTTTGTTTCAGGTTTGTCTGTTTAGTTCCCTTTAGATTTCTTATATTTTTTTGTCCGTCCATCACTGCAATTGATAACACACTGAATATGAGATTATATTTAAGTAAAAGGGTTCATTAGCTTAAATTTGTTTTAAATGGAGCATTACTCAAATATGTATGTTAATAAATGTGGTAGTATGTATGCAAGTGTGTAGTATCTGTGTACACTTGTAAAATGCACTTTTCATAAATTATAGGTTGGCATTATTAAATTTATTCAATCATGAATATCTTGTAATATATTTAAAATCAATTTATGTAGTCATTTAAGAAAAAATTGATTGATTTTTTACTTGTTAAATTGTTTAAAGTGGAGTAGAGTGGGTACGTTGGTTGCTCATGTTTAAAAAAGGTTAATTAAGATAACACTAAATGACCTTGTATAATGTGTATTATAAGTTGTCTTGTGGTACATTTTAATAAATTGAAGCCCTGGAGAAGTAATATTGTTACCTTAAGGGATCTACTAAGATATACTATGTATATTTAAATAATATAGGGTCAATAATTAGATGAGTTTCAAAAGGTATATTTTGTATTAAGCTTAAGGCATAATGTAGTTTAATAATAATATCTAGTTTGTGATATTATTCTTTTTTGTTTATGTTTTGATACTTTTTTTTATAAAATATCAAAACATTTAAAAAAGATTTACTTATTTTTTTTAAAGCTATTTTGCTCACGTTATGATTGCCTTACTTAAAAAGAAATTAATAAAATTAAAACCAGATTAACTTGAAATATTATAGCACATTATCTCTTACAGAAAACTGACTCATCAATATCCCTTGAATGATTCTCTGATTAAAGTTTTTTGTTCCATTAACTTCTTTGTTCAATAGATATTTTATCCGAATATTAGAAGTCAATCAATGAAATGATATTTTTATCTAAAAATTTTCTTCGTACATTAAAAACTCCTTTTTAATTTTTCCGTTTGAAATCAAATTTCGAAGTATAGAGATTTTTTTTTTTTTAAATTATTTGGCTGAACTTAAAATATTTCACTAAAAATAAAAAATAAATTTTCCCTTAAAACTTAAATTTTAATTTTTTATTAAAAATACAAAATATCAAAATTTTTACAAAATATCAAAATTATTACCAAAATCCAAATTTGCTCTAAAAATTAAAATTTTACGAAAAAAAAACTAAGTTTTTCACTAAAATCAACATTTTCATAAAACATTTACATATTTCGAAAAATCAAAATTTTGGTTAAAATCCCAATTTTTACTAAAATCAAAATTTTCACTATATATCAAAAAAAAAAAAAAAAAAAAAATAAAAATCTAAAAATCAATTCCAATGTTCCGATATTTTACTAAAAAAAATAAATTTTCACTCAAAATACATTTTGGGTTAGTTAATTAGTTAGTTAGTTAGGTAGTTAGGTAGTTAATTAGTTAATTAGTTAGTTAGTTAGTTAGTTAGTTAGTTAATTAGTTAGTTAGTTAGTTAGTTAGTTAGTTAGTTAGTTAGTTAGTTAGTTAGTTAGTTAGTTAGTTAGTTAGTTAGTTAGTTAGTTAGTTAGTTAGTTAGTTAGTTAGTTAATTAGTTAGTTGATTAGTTAGTTACTTAGTTAGTTACTTAGTTAGTTAGTTAGTTAGTTAGTTAGTTAGTTAGTTAGTTAGTTAGTTAGTTAGTTAGTTAGTTAGTTAGTTAGTTAGTTAGTTAGTTAGTTAGTTAGTTAGTTAGTTAGTTAGTTAGTTAGTTAGTTAGTTAGTTAGTTAGTTAGTTAGTTAGTTAGTTAGTTAGTTAGTTAGTTAGTTAGTTAGTTAGTTAGTTAGTTAGTTAGTTAGTTAGTTAGTTAGTTAGTTAGTTAGTTAGTTAGTTAGTTAGTTAGTTAGTTAGTTAGTTAATTCGTTTGTTCGTTCATTGGGAAGGAGGATGCATGTTACATCAAATCCAAAGAAATTAAACCTAGACAATCACAATCAAGCCTTTTGTGCGCTCCCTTACCAGTACGCCACATCGGAATCGAACTCACGACCTTTAAACCTATAACACTAACCAATAACCTACCGAAATCAATTACAATGTTTTCCAAAGCGGCTCATAACTAGTCACAGTATAGCTCCGCTATAAAGTCAACTTCATAAAATTACTTAATCGTAAATAACCACTGTAATGAGCTATAAGTATTCGTTTCAGCAATAGTTTTGATAATAATTAACAGAGTCAGTTTCTACATTTACATATTTACAGTTTATTAAAAATTCCTTCAATTTCGCTCTGTGTATAAATTTCACATCAACACACACATTCATTTTGATTCACGTTATCAATTGAAATTTTATTTTTTCTCCATTTTTTCACATACGCAAAATGCAATAAAATTATTTCTGAATTTTTAGGTTTATAATAATTTCAAAAATATGTTTAGCCTTACCCAGATCCTATGTCTACTCCACAAAACCCATACAAAAACATTTTATTATCTCTTTCTCAAAAAAGAAAAAGACTCATATGAAAAAAATCTTAAATGACATGTGTTATCTTAAGTAAATTTAACCATGCATTCAATATGAAGTGAACATTTATTTATTTCTTTATTTTTAAACTTTTTTATTTCGCAATTCCTTACCCTACACTACAAGTCAAATGGGTAAAAGTTTAATGCGTTTAATCTTTTGAAGACATGAAACATTTTCCTCTTTGCATTATTACTTATTTTTCTGCTGTGTTGCTTGTTGCTGTTTCTTTTGGTTATCAGCAGCAAAAGCTAAGCTTAATTTAAAACTATTAATTAGTTGATGTGGCCTAAAGCAATAACACCAAAGCGAACTAAATACTTGGATGGCGTTGAAGCATTTCATTTTACTTAGATTTTAGTTGTTTATTTATTTGTTAAGAATATTTAACATAAAACATTAAAGAACTAAAAGTATGTAAAGCTATTGCCAGCAGTCAAAAGACTGCAAAACTTATAAAAAAAAGACCTTTAAATATACAAGAATTACATGTTCTTTTTTTTACAACAATGAAATTCAATATGTTATTTTACATGTTTAATGTGTGTCTCCCCTTTTTTTTTGCAGTCGAAATTCAAACCAACTAGTTGGCGAACCAACCACCACCCCAGAGTCATCAAACAAAGTCGTCTACCATAATGATGTTGATGACGACGCCACATGCACGCACATTCTATATTATATTCTTAAGAAGCCCTAGTAATAAACACTTTGTTATATTTGCTACTTTTATTTTGTAGCTGTTTCTTCTTCTTCTTCTTCTATAAATTACAAAGTTACAATTACAATTGTATTTACAACTTGTCACCTGAAACTACATAAAAGCGCTGCTAAAGAATTCAACAGAGAAAAGATAAAATGCAAAACTATAACTACTACTTGTGCATATAAAACAAAAAGTAAAAATTGCAAAAATATTAAAAAGCAACAACAACAACTGGAAATAAAACTACAAACGGTAAGTTAAAGCTTCTTATGTGGCTTAATATAATCTTTATTTGTGTATCTATGTATGGGTATTTTTTATATTACTTGCATTTAAAGTTTAGTACCAAGCACTATTTCTAGTTTCTATTTTACAATGACTTAAGTTACACAAAGAATATAACAAACAAAGCGTTTGATATTTTATATATTAGAGTGACTTTGTAGAGCGATCAAAACATCTTGTCAAAAAAGTTGACAATTATAGGAAAAAATACCGTTATTGTGTGCTAAAAAGACCAAGAAGTGTTGTTAACATTTTGTTGTTTAAAAAAAGTAATATGAGTAATTTGTTAGAATATATGTATGGTTGTATTCTATTAAGTTCTATAAACTTTACAGAATCTAGTTAAACCACAATAGTTTAAACTAGCTGTTCCCAGCGTATTCTGTTTAGAAAACAGACTCCTAGAAGTTATGGTACAAGATCAAAGACCAGAAATATACTTCAAAAGTTTTATTAGCATTGGATAAGTGTTGTCCAAAATCTAGAAAAAGTGGGAATATTATGAGTACCCTGATCACAAACTGATCATAAATGGTAAACATAACCTATATGGGCCCAGTAGTAGTATTACACTTGTTAAACCTTTTGTAAAATTAAGATCTCAGTGCAAAAATTACACGATGATCCCGGTATGTTTAAATTTCTATTAAAATATTTGCGATTACAACTTGATCATTTGCCTTTTGCCCATTTTTCTCCTTTTCTAGATCTTCTGAAGGACTTAAAATTCCAAATTATTATAGATATTTTCAATTGAAATTCCTAAGTACTTTAAACTACCACCAGACTATTTCAATACTCACCAACTGCCAAATTTTCAAAAACAAATCATGCATATGATTAAGTAGTTTCACAATTATTTTAACTTATTATTGGCTATTAAAACCCTGCTTACAATAACCAGAACTAGATCTTTTGTTAGAATAAAAAAAAAAAAACAACACAACTACCACCATTTAAACAAAGGCGGCATTATTAAAATCATCATGCTTCATTCATTCATTCATTTATTCATTGTTAAAAATCTAACAAAAAACTCAATGAAGTAGAACTCTATTCAACTCATACTCCTCTGTATTAACAATACTTTCAAGTGTACATTTATCAAGTACAAGGCACTCAAACATTTCTAAAGAACAAAAAGATTCTAACAAAACAATCGAAAAGCTGAGCTTGTTAATCATAAAAAAAATAAAAGAAAATTTTTGCAAACATAATTTGCCACATCCCTTTTCAATCGGGGATTTATTTCATTTAAGTGTCAACTAATGTATAAAAATGGGTGACTACCTGAATTTCTTGGGCTATTGCAGAAAAACGTGTGGAACAAAAGAAATGCAAAATTATTGTTGAAGATGTATGTTAAATTATGGTTTTTAATGAAAATATAAAAGGTGAAAAAATTTTCACTTTTGGGACCAAAGTGACGATCGGTTATAATAAAGATAAATTAGGATAATTTTTCTGATATGTGTTTTAAGTTTTTTGGTACTATACTATAGACTAGACTAGACTATAGACTACACTATAGACTAGACTATAGACTAGAATATAGACTAGACTATAGACTAGACTAGACTAGACTATCGACTAGACTATAGACTAGACTATAGACTAGACTATAGACTAGACTATAGACTAGACTATAGACTAGACTATAGACTAGACTATCGACTAGACTATTAGACTAGACCTATAGACTAGACTAATCGACTAGACTATAGACTAGACTATAGACTAGACTATAGAACTAGGACTCTAGACTAGACTATAGACTGACTCTATAGACTAGACTATAGACTAGACTATAGATTGACTGACTATAGACTAGACTATAGACTAGACTATAGACTAGACTATAGACTAGACTATAGACTAGCTATAGACTAGACTATAGACTAGACTATAGGACTAGACTATAGACTAGACTATAGACTAGACTATAGACTAGACTATACTAGACTATAGACTAGACTATAGACTAGACTATAGACTAGTACTATAGACTAGACTATATACTAGGACTATAGACTAGACTATAGACGACTATAGACTAGACTATAGACTAGACTATAGACTAGACTATAGACTAGACTATAGACTAGACTATAGACTAGACTATAGACTAGACTATAGACTAGACTATAGACTAGACTATAGACTAGACTATAGACTAGACTATAGACTAGACTATAGACTAGACTATAGACTAGACTATAGACTAGACTAGACTAGACTATAGACTAGACTATAGACTAGACTATAGACTAGACTATAGACTAGACTATAGACTAGACTATAGACTAGACTATAGACTAGACTATAGACTAGACTATAGACTAGACTATAGACTAGACTATAGACTAGACTATAGACTAGACTATACTAGACTATAGACTAGACTAGACTAGACTATAGACTAGACTATAGACTAGACTATAGACTAGACTATAGACGACTATAGACTAGACTATAGACTAGACTATAGACTAGACTATAGACTAGACTATAGACTAGACTATAGACTAGACTATAGACTAGACTATAGACTAGACTATAGACTAGACTATAGACGACTATAGACTAGACTATAGACTAACTATAGACTAGACTATAGACTAGACTATAGACTAGACTATAGACTAGACTATAGACTAGACTATAGACTAGACTATAGACTAGACTATAGACTAGACTATAGACTAGACTATAGACTAGACTATAGACTAGACTATAGACTAGACTATAGACTAGACTATAGACTAGACTATAGACTAGACTATAGACTAGACTATAGACTAGACTATAGACTAGACTTTAGACTAGACTATAGACTAGACTATAGACTAGACTAGACTAGACTATAGACTAGACTATAGACTAGACTATAGACTAGACTATAGACTAAACTATAGGCTAGACTATAGACTGGACTATAGACTGGACTATAGACTAGACTATAGACTAGACTATAGACTAGACTATAGGCTAGACTATAGACTAGACTATAGACTAGACTATAGACTAGACTATAGACTAGACTATAGACTAGACTATAGACTAGACTATAGACTAGAATATAGACTAGACTATAGACTAGACTATAGACAAGACTATAGACTAGACTATAGACTAGACTATAGACTAGACTATAGACTGGACTATAGACTAGACTATAGACTAGACTATAGACTAGACTATAGACTAGACTATAGACTAGACTATAGACTAGACTATAGACTAGACTATAGACTAGACTGTAGACTAGACTATAGAATAGACTATAGACTAGACTATAGACTAGAATATAGACTAGACAATAGACTAGAATATAGACTAGAATATAGACTAGACTATAGACTAGACTATAGACTAGACTATAGACTAGACTATAGACTAGACTATAGACTAGACTATAGACTAGACTATAGACTAGACTATAGACTAGACTATAGACTAGACTATAGACTAGACTATAGACTAGACTATAGACTAGACTATAGACTAGACTATAGACTAGACTATAGACTAGACTATAGACTAGACTATAGACTAGACTATAGACTAGACTGTAGACAAGACTGTAGACTAGACTATAGACTAGACTAGACTATAGACTAGACTAAACTATAGACTAGACTATAGACAAGACTATAGACTAGACTATAGACTAGACTATAGACTAGACTATAGACTAGACTATAGACTAGACTATAGAATAGACTATAGACTAGACTATAGACTAGACTATAGACTAGACTATAGACTAGACTATAAACTAGACTATAGACTAGACCATAAACTAGACTATAGACTAGACTATAGACTAGACTATAGACTAGACTATAGACTGGACTATAGACTAGACTATAGACTAGACTATCGACTAGAATATAGACTAGACTATAGACTAGAATATAGACTACACTATAGACTACACTATAGACTAGACTATAGACTAGACTATAGACTAGACTATAGACTAGACTATAGACTGGACTATAGACTAGACTATAGACTAGACTATCGACTAGACTATCGACTAGACTATCGACTAGACTATAGACTAAACTATCGACTAGACTATAGACTAGACTATAGACTAGACTATATACTAGACTATAGACTAGACTATAGACTAGACTATATACTAGACTATAGACTAGACTATAGACTAGACTAGACTAGACTAGACTAGACTATAGACTAGACTAGACTATAGACTAGACTATAGACTAGACTATAGACTAGACTATAGACTAGACTATAGACTAGATTATATTGCAGAACAATCTAGACTAAAGACTGGAATATGGCTTATAGAACGAGTTGCTTTTTATATAAATACTGTTCCTTACAAAAATTACTAAGTCAAAGAGTAATGCTTTAAAAAGATCAGCATTAACATATCGTATTGCTTCTCACATAAAAATATCTCTTTTTCCCCAATCTATATACGATCTCTAATTTTAAGCATTCTTTTTTCTCAACATATGAAATTTGTAAACATTTTTCCAAATTTTGCACTCCTTATTTTTAACCATTGAATTTGTGATAAAAAAAACTCACACACAAATAAGGAAGAAGCTGGAAAGACAAAAAAGGTATTTCTTTCGATTAAAGATAACAGCACCTTTTGTGGTTGTCAAGTATTTCCGACACTATCATCGGACATTTATCTTTAAACGCCACCTTGATGTTTTTGTTTTGCAATACCTTTTTTTTTATAAAATTTGTTGATTTTTAAGTAATTAAGCTAAATTATTCGTATGAATCAACTAATAATGTTAAGATATGAAATTAATTGAATTTAAATTAAGAAGACAAAAACAAAAAAGAATGCATTTTTTATATGAAATTTGTTTTGAGAACAAAAAGGGAGGGCAATTTTTTAATGAATTTAAATGAAATTTGTTTTTATAAAATGGAACTTAAACCTTATCATTATGCAAATGAAACTCTGTTTT